GAGCGGTGAGGCCGGCGCCGGGGAAGCGAATCGATACTGCGTTACTGGACGCCCGCGGGCCTCATGAGGACAGTCGATTCGCTCATTCGTTATTCACGATTTATTAGGGATGGCGGCCGCGTCTGTCCCTCCAGAGAGCTTGATTATCCATCCGGCCAGTAGCGCCATTAAGCGCACTGACGGTGGGAGGCTCGAGTTAGAAATTGGGAAAGGAATCTTCGCCCAGTTTTGGAGCGCCTGCCTCTTCTTGCCTTGCTGCTCGCAGCCAAGGCAGCCCCGAAACTGGGGACCCCGGCTGAATGCTTTCGCCCTCTGGCCGCCGAGTGACCCCAGCTCGAGCCTGCAGCCACAACAGCGGGACGGGGGCGGGGAGGAAGAGGAAGGGCGGAGAGACTTCCTTCCAGAGGGAGTGGTCCGAGAACCGGCGGGAGAAGGGCCAAGGGAAGATCCGGTCACCTCCTCCCAAGCCTGCAGGCGAAGAGGCGAGTTCACCGGCCCCGGAGGAAAGGGGACCCGCCCACTGTTCCCAGGGCAAATGTGTCGCCGGCGTCCTGGACTCTGCCAGGGAAAACGCGCATCCACTCGCTCTGCCAGGAGGGGAGCGCGGCAGGGACTCCCAGGCAGCCGCCCCTCTCTGGCTACAAGACCCCGAACAAGAGAAACCCGTAACAGGGCCTTTGCGGAGATCTGGATCCCACCCACCAACCACACGGACACCTAGGGGCTGCCCCTCGGGGCATTATCAGCCAGTGGGAAGGAGGTTGACGTTCCTCTGCGGCCCATGAATCCTGGAGGGCTTCCCGAGGGACCACCGGGGTCCATCCACTTATTCCTCGGTTGTTAAGCGCCAGACAGGAGAGAACCGCTAAAGAGGAGTGTGCTAAGACCCCATTACCCACTAAAACTCCATTTTCATCTTTTGCGTCCTTGATGAGTAGTCCCCACATTCCTGGCCTTTCTGGTTTCTCAGGAGAACCTTCTGACCAGCTCCTCCCACATCGGAAGAGTTTTCTAGTCTTTTGTTCTACTGCTAGCCGACAGAGAAGCACCTGTCATGTGCCAGTGTCAAATGCTGCGCTAGGAACTGGGGACTCAAGGCACAAGAGCCTGGCTTTTGCGCGGGGTGCTCACAGGCCGGTGGGTGCAAACCCTGAGGGACACACAGCCTGTCCCTTTAGCGCCCACCGCTTCTGATGTGAGCGCTAAGGGTGAGTGAGTACTTGGGTGGGCTTCCACAAGAGGCCTCCTTTGAGCCGAATCTGCAGAGACCAAGTGTCTATGAGAACTGCTTAAGAGTACTTTGCACATTCTCCTCCACAAAGGTCGAGGCTCCCACCGCGCCCAGGAATGCGCCTCGGCAAACATTAGGCGCCCCTTGATTTTGTGTTTGCATCTCACGCGGTCCTCTAGCTGACAAGTGCATCAGAAGAGTCACAGTGTCTGTCACAGGCTAGAGGCTCGCAGAGGACAGGAACGCGGGAAATCTAGGCAATTATCTCCAGCATATACCAAGAGCTATTGCGAGGCTCAGATCCCTTTAAAAATGGTGACGAGACAGGAGAGGGCGGCTCCTCTAATGCTTTCCGGAACGTCTTTACCTCTGTGTCCTTTATACCTTTTATCTCCCCCAAACAAGGTCCTTGGTCAGTTTCTGCTTCTCTTTCCACATCCTCCTCCCCCACTTCTCTGTGTAGTTCTAAGGGAAAAAAAATGTATTGTTTTCCTTTTTTTTCTGATGCTTCTCACTTTAAATGTGTCTATTGTCCCTCTCTCTGTCTTGGGGTCTTCCGCACTCACCCTGCCTAGTTCTCTGTCATGTCCCTTCTTTCCTTGTATCACAACAATGTTCTCCCTTTCTCATCTTTGTTTCTCTTCATACCTGTTTCTCTGTGTGTCTCTCTCTCATTCCCTTCCCTTCCAAATGTAGTATTTGGAGATTGTAATATCGATTGAGGCAGACAATAAAAAACTGTCGAACCTCCACTGTAAATTCATTCCTAATCCTATGAAAAAATGCATCCTGAAACATGTTCCTTGCACAGTGAAACAAAAACCTCTGTCTTTAGGTTTCCTGCCATCCAGCTTGGAGGCGGGGTGGGGGTGTGG